GAGGCGGCAACCACGAAAACCAGCATTGAAGCCAGTTCGATGTTTGTCCCTAAGTCAGCTTCCCTCAAAAAGGGTGATTTGGAGCCGAATCGGTTTGGAGGTCTTACGGGGGGTTCCCATTTACCCTCCACAATGATTCTAATCCAAACCGGCTCCAAACCACCAATTGGTAACCTGACTCAGGGTAAGTCGGGTGTTGAGAGCCCTAGGGTTCTTAAGGTTCCTCGCACCTTCTTGGTGAGCCTTAGGGAGCCTTAGGAATGGACCACCCTCTTACCTTAAGCTGCGAACGGGGCCAATAGGGAGTGCATTAGGCTTGGCCAACTCTCCATTTTCAGTCAAACTTTGTCTGTTTGGGAAAACGGATGGTAGCGATTTCTATTGTTGCCCACAAAATCCTTATGCCAGATGGTAGCCTTTTGCTAGATGGAGGATTTTGTCATGTGACTCCACCTTTAGGGGAGCTGGACAAGCCCAACGTGCCTTGCGGATGTTTAGAATCCCGCGAAAGCATCTTGTAAGGGAGCTGTTTATCAACTGTTACCTCCAAAGCCCTCAAGTTTCGGGGCCACTTGGCCATTTGCACTCGCGCGATGCCGAGCCGTGTCTTGCTGGTGCGAGAGATGCAGGGAATGAGAAATGGAATGACCCCGGGAGAAACCATCCCTTGTGGTATCCAGAAGAAAACTTCCAGGGTTCATTCAAGTTCATTCCCTCACCGCAGTGCCTTTTCCTCGAGATGTGTGGGGTTCTTGTTACACCTTGGCGTTGCACGGGGACCAAATTGCTCGGGTTTTGTTTGCTTTGCGTGTTCCCTTCAGGTCCAGTCAAACATGGGGCCATTTTGTGCCACCAATGGTGGATATGCAACCCAGGCTCCTCGAGCTTAGAAATCATGTTGGGTTCCCTTGAAACCGCATTTTAGGGAGTGCTTCTGATAATGTCACTTTGGTGGACCTGGTGGATCCAGCGGAAAAAAAAAGAGAAAAAAAAGGAAAAAGAAACGGGACGCGTGGTAAGCTTTGTAGCAGCCTGCGCCCAAACTTTAACATGGAGCCCTTCAAAGTTGGCGAGTTTCCATGCGAGTTCCCTTAACCCAGAAAAGGTGGCAGTTACCCGTGCAGAAAGATTCAGTATTAGTTGGCAAGTGCAAACAAGGACCCTCCCCTTAATGAGTGGGGGTGTAAAGAATCAGGGTCGACATTTGGGTCTTGCATCGGTTTGGATGTATCCCTCTGATGGGCCTCTGTCTGAAGCTGCGTCTTAGGCGTGTCGAGCCTGGGAGACTAAAATTCAGAGGCACACCAGCGTTGTTTTTGTTCCTTTTTTGTGTTTTTGGAGTTCAAGAGTGAAAGACTGGCTTTAAGCTGGCCCAAAACTGGAGTTGCGCCATCTGTCGCCCAAGATCATGGACTTTGAAGGGGGCTATGGGTAGAGCGGCTATTCCTTATTAACCCCTTAGTGAGGCCTTATTAAGGGCTTATCCTTGGCTTATCCTAGGCTGATGAATGGATAGCCCCGCCCAAAACCCACCCTCTCCCATAGCACCCCCTACGGGGCCATGACAAGAGGTGGCTTTGCTCACCACGGGCCTGTCGCCAGGTGCCTCAGCAGCGCAAAGTCTCCATACGCTGCCCCAGCCCAGCCCGCCAGGGGGCCCCAGCCTGGCTCAAAATGGGTGTGCGCGGTTTTTGAGGGGTATTTTTTTGGAGATCTCGGGGTACCTTCCCCATTCTTTCCAGGGATTCTTTTCACCAAAACCATCAAAGACCCAGAAAAAACACAGCCGGTTTTTGAAAAGAACAGTGGTTGAAAAGAATGGAGAATCAATTCCTAGTCGCTTTGAATGGAAACCCAAAGTAAAGCCGGTTTGCCTGGTTTTATTTTAACCCAGCCTGAAAGGGGTGCTCCGGGAGGGGGGTGGGAGCTACGAGCTTTGGGCTTGAGGAAAGTCGGGCAGTCTAACACACGCATCTTGCGCGCATAAACCACAACCAGCTACCTCGCAACCTGACAGGCCAATGTTTCTTTTTTCAACAGCCAGCAGGCGCCGACGGTATGTGAGAGGAAGGGTCAAATGCTCGACTTGACCAGCTTGGCCCTGCAGAAGTCCCGCGTTTTTTTGTCGTTTGTTTTCTTCCTTTTTCCCCCTCTCCCTCCCGTGAGAACCTTTTTGGGTTGGCTCGAAAGCAAATCAACAGGAAAGGCACAATTTCTGGGGTGCCCCTATTTAAAAACTCAAAAAGTCCCCATTTTGAACAGCCAATTGGTCTGGATGGGTCGGCAAATTCGCAAGGTTTTCTTCCTCGGCTCGTTACAGGCATCGGCCCAAGGGCTGGACTCAATGGCTTCCTCGACTGTCTGCGTTTCTCAGCCAGAAAGCAACTGCAAGAATGAAGCCTGCCCTTTTTCCCCATTTCAAGTGGCTTGAATTTTCGGAAGTTGCGCGTGCTCTCCAGGGCCGCACCGTGCGTTTGTCCAGCTTCCCAAGGACGGATCTTGCAAGCACTTCGTGGGCGTCCTAGGCGAGCTCGGGGGTCGGCGCGCCGCGTTCTTTCCTTCTTTTTGATCCTGAAAAGGCCTCACTGCTTCAGGGTCTTCATTATTTTGGCTTCCCTTAAGTTGACTCAGGTAACATCCAAGGAGCGGAAACCAGATGAGACCAAGCAGGAGGGTTCTACCCCAGGTGGCTAACCACTTACTTGGAACATTGAAGGAGAGACGCCTAATCAGGAGGTTGATTCTGGGGTCGGCATGAAGCCGTCTGGTTGGGCAGCCCTTGAATCAATGAGTCACTGACGCCGGCCGAAGTTCCAGAAAGCGCGGTTGGAACCCAACTGATCAAAGGATACTTCAATGTTTCGGGGTCTCAGAATCAGTGGCTTCTCAGCGTCACCTGCGAAGGCCTGTTGCAAAGAGGTCTGCCCAGCGGGACAAAGGGGGCCGGGAGATGGTGGAATCCCTGGGCTCAACAGAAATGGCGGCAACCCGTGGTCCGGTTCGTGCGTGTTCCCTTGGACAGCCGCCAAACTCTCTTCGGCCGAAGGGTTCTGCCTTCGCGTCTTCGGGCAGACCTCAACCTTTGCGGACGGCACCTTCTTTGATGCTGCCGGCCGGGGTTTTCGAAGAGGACGTGGCGTGTTGGGGGGCGCTGGGGTTCTGGGGCGCTTGGTTCAAGGAAGTTGTTGCTTGTTGCTTGCACCTTTAACATTTAGCGCTTTGTTGGTCGAGCGTGCAGTTTTTCCCACAAGCCAGCAAAAGTTTTAAAAGCAAACGCGGTTGGGCAATGCTCTAGAGCCACCAAGACAGGTGGCAGTTCACGCACGGCAGAGGATGGTGATCCACATGACGAGTTTTTGACATGACAGGTGGTTGATGGGGTCTCAAAATGATGGAGTTCTTAGGACCAAGTGGCGTTTTTGGTCACGGACCACCTAAAAAGAAGGACTCGGATCTGGGTTTGCCCGCTGCTCCGCTGGTTTCTCCGCACGACAAAATGCTCCTGCCGCATTCTCAAGATGTCCAAGGAGGGGCACATGCTGCGGAGATAGACCGTGGGTCCCGGGAGGTTTGGAATTTCAGCTATGGCAACCCTAGTTGTCCCTGAGTGGGAGAACTACTACTTGCCCCTTCACAGCATGTCTAAGAGACTTGCAGCCATCGCAAATCATCTGTGCCCATGGTAATGCTAACCACTTACTTCAGGCGTGAGGCATCCCAAAGTTCTCGCTCCAAGGCAGGGGTCTTGACAAATACATATATATATATATACACATCTTTTGTTGGGGGGGGAGTAAAATCCATTTTTTTCCCGGACGTCTCGCAAATTCTCTGTGGTGCTTTGGGTGACCTATTCAGGCGCCGACAGCCTGGTGAAGATGCCCGGCTTCAACGCCCAGGACCCCATAGCAACCTCGGTTGCCATGGCAGTGCTTCTTTTAGGTTCCTCAAGGAGCCAATCTTTCCAGCCGGGTTCCAGGACACCGGGGCTGGAAAGGAATTCCCTGGCTTGCATGAAGTGAGAGGGTCCACATCCTGGACTTCAGGACTTGTCGCGCTTGGACTTCAGCTTTTCCATGCGGATTCGCCAGGACGTGTCGAACAGGGCGCAGGTGCCAGGAACTCGGCTGTGCAGGCGGGCACGACTCCATGTCACTTTTGTCGCTGGCATGCGACTGGGGTGGGCTAGACCTGAGGTTTGTGCCTGCCCTGGGCTTTTTCGGGGAGTGGGGGGCGGGACGAGCTTACAGGTATGTGCTTGCCCTTTTGCTCGGGGATGTTTTTATCCCTTTCGGGCTTTTCCGTTAATCCCACTTGGTGGTTTTGGGCTTGAATCCCGGGTTCTAGGGGGTAAAGGTGAACGTAGGCACATCTAACCAGCCGCCAAGCATCGCCGGCAACACTTGGCTCAAGCTGAAGCGAGGCGATTGACAAATTACGTAACCGCCCCAAGCGCCGCCCATCGAGCGGTTGAAATCAGTCCTGGGATATCGTTAACGTTGGGAGCCCTTGTTTTGTTGGCATGCTTGGCACTGTACTCGGCCTTCAGTTGGGCCAGTTGGGTTCCTCTTTAGTGGGTTCTAATTTCCCATTGTTGCAAGGTTCACGCACCTTTAAACCATCTTCTTCTTCCTTTTTTTTGATAGGCACAAGCTGAAATCGTTCCAACCATCGGAACTTCGATTTGATTTCCCCTGTGGAATTGGGTCAACACTAGCAGGGCAAGTCGCCAAAAGCCGTACCCCACTACAATTTCCTGAGTGTGTCCCCCTGTGCACCAAACGGGAGCTGATTCCTCCCAACAACGAACTGGTTCCAATGCTTGTCTACCTTTGGAGTCACATGTTGCAACCTCAGTTTGCAACCATACCCTCCGACTGTTGGACATGATGTTTTTTTTGGAGTGGTTTTAAAGGGGAACCAAGAGGAAAACCACTATTTGGGGGTCCTCCCAAAAAAGCCACCCCCATTTCGAAGCAAGGTACCACCCATCGACTGCCCCAAAACGGGCGCTGAATTCCAGCCCCGGTTTCGGCAACTCGCCCGAGACCCGAAGCCGGGCGCAGCTGTGATGTGTTGAGATGCCCGGCCGCGATCGCACTGCGAAGAGGCGGGGGCGCCAGTTCGGAGATTTGGGAATATTTTATTGAGGGCACTTCTTTTTGGGGTGGTGATGGTGGTGGTGGTGGTGGCAGTGGCGGTGGTGGTGGGAAGGGGAACTGACAGGAAAGGCAAATAGTTTGAACAGACAAGCGCACAAACGTTCGAACACACAAACACACAAACACAAGCGGACAAACAGACAAAACAGACAAACAGGCGGATAGACAAACATACGAACAGACAACACGCAAACAGGCAAGAGCACAAGCACGCAAAGTGTGCGCACGTGCGTGCATCCATACATCCGTGCATCCATGCATCCACGCACCAACCCACCCACCCACCCGCCCGCCCGCCCGCCCGCCCGGCCGGCCGCCCATGTGTGGTGTGCGATCGCAAGGTAAGGTATGGTAAGGTAAGGTAAGTAACGTACTACAACTCAATGTACTGTAATGTAAACGCAAAAGTAAAGTCAGGTAATGTAATGCACGTATGTGCGCAAAATGACTACGGTATGTCCCTCTTTCTCCCGTTCATGCCGATGTTGCATTTCACTGGTGGCCGGGTCAAGCAATCAGCCAAACAACTTTTCGCCGCGCGCGCCTGGCGGGTGACGGCATCGCTTGTGCGAATCGTTGCTAGCACAGGTCCTTAGTTTCCTGGGCCTGGCTCTTCCTCCCTTTCAACCAACGCCAAAAAAGGGCACAGAGCCCTCAAACCCAGTGCCCCCGGGCCAGCGTTTAGCCAAGGGCTCCCAAATCCGATCCCCTCAGGACTTTGCAAACGACGAAAGAATCAAGAAGCCCCGCAAAAGGAAGGCTTGCACGAAAGCTATGCCTGGCGTAATATTCCAATGGTCTTTTCTTGGCAGGGCTTCCTTGGCCGCTTGCTTTCGCGAGGTTTGTAGAATGCACGCTCTTCGTGTCGGTGGTCGTTGCTGCCGAGAGCTTGGGCAAGCTGTCAGGGCCAGCAGGGTCTGGAGCGTCTTAGCTTGTCAGAGGTAGGTTGAAGTGTTGCAGGGCTTCAGTCAGGGCCAACGGGTCTGGATCGGCTTGCTTCAAAAGCCGCGGGCTTCGGGGTGGCAAGTTGAACTCGAAAATGTCAGGGCTAGAGTGCTAGAGTGCTATCCAGGTGAGATGTGCACGTGCGAGCGTTGATTCGGGAAGGCCGTGTGACTCTCCCAAGTTAGCAAGTAAACCCAGTGGATTCACCGAACAAATGGGCTATTGGCCACTTGCCTGATGGTTGAAATCCGACCTTTTGGTCGGTGTTGTGACCGGGGAACCACTGAAACAACCAGTTTTAGGTTTCAGGCATTTCCCACCTCAGGTCTTCTCGTTGCTGGAGGTGATGTTCGGTCAGGGAAGCCTTGTACAGGCCGGTGCTTCTTGGTGAGCGCCTTCGGGCGGTGGTACTGACCATAGGCCCAAGAACTTTGGACACTTGGCCCAGGCCGCATCATTCAGCACACCCCCAAAAGGGGGCCTGAGACAGGGGAAACCTGTAGGTGGTTTGGGGCCTCCTTGAAGCACAAGCGATCTGGATTCCCTACATTAGGGCGCGCAAATCAACCGCTTCATCCTGGGCTAACAACCCCACTGAGAACATGCAAGTGGAGAGGCGCCTAAGGCGCAATGGGACCCGTGGTCTTCCCAAAGGGCCGTGTGTACGAAGCCAAGATTGTCCCGGTTATTCAGTGGCATCCGTTCTTTCTTAAGACTTGAATCACCCCCCCAAAGAGGGTTTCCTTTCCACCCAACGTACTTGGGCTTCAGGAGCCGACCGAACCGATTCGGAGGCCAACCGAGCGATTTGCTCATGAAGGTCCTTTGAGCATATTTTCCTTGGCCGTTGTTGCAGTCATTTTGTTTGCTTACTCCTTTCTTCTGGGGATTCTTCCAATTTTCGGATTGGAAATTCAAGCAGTGGTTATTCGCTTGTCCCTTGGCCGAATCATGAAGCCAACAGCTTTCCTTTGGGGGTTGGCTGTCCACTTGGAAAGGGAGCTTGAGCGCTGCTCGTCGGGACGGTTGGCCTACCCCGCGCATCAACTCAAAAGTGGGTCCCCAAAAGGAGCCTTTCCAATGTGTTGAAACTGGGGTTCCATGTTAATCTGGCAGTAAGGGTGCAAGGGGCGAAATAATTACCCCCACACATTGTTTCCTTCTGGTCATGACTAAATTTGGCTTCAGTACCCCACAGCTCCATTCTAAGGGCCATTTTTGAAGATGGCTTTTCCTTGCGCATGGGCATTGTAACCTTTGAAGGGCCACATATGCACAAGCTCATGTAGACACGGTGGGGTGGGCGGGTGGGTGCCCTACCTGATGCCAGGCCCCACTGCAGCCACAAGAGCTGCTCCTACAGCCCTGGCCCTTAGTTTCTTTCCTCCTGGAATTCGAACCCCAGAGAAAGCTTAATTTGAAGCCAAGGAAAACCAAGGGACAACCAAGGAATTCCAATGAAATCCAATATAAACCAGGGAAAAACTCATGGAAACCGATGGAAACCAGGGGGCGCCCAGCAAAGCCCGCTTGTTGAGGGTAAAGGGGAACCCCTTCGCAACAGGGGGTTTGGGGCAGTCCTTTCATTGGCGTCGCCCTTTGAGAGGTTCGGTCAAAATTTCCAGTATCCCTGTCCCTGGAAAAAGGGGGAGAGAGGGGAAGTTGCTAAGCTGAAGTGTCACACAAGACCAGGGGACTTGGACATTGTCCAATGTCCTGAGACGAGCAATTCTGAATGCATATGCAGGTTTAGCTTGGGTTTAATGGGGTTTCCCACATGGAACACGTTTCGCCTCGGGGTTTGGGACGGTGGTTTTTCTTGGAGGTCAATTTGGGTGCACCCAACTTGTTGCAGGGTGCCCTTTTCGGGATAGGGAAGCCCAATTTTGAAAGCTCTGGATATAGAGGCCAACCCAGATTCATTGCAGGTTGAGGGAAACCCAGTTGCTCAGAATCAAGGCTTTTGCAGAGAGAAACGACGGCCACGGGCAAATTGTTGAGCGGACTTCACGAGGTCCTTGCAGAGGCACATGGAGCAGGCCGAATCGGTCCGATTCCCGATTCGATGAGCGAAGCCTGGCTGCTAGTTGGCTATAGATGAACCTTTTGACTTGTTGGGGACATGTTGCGCTCTTTTTTGCGCCCGCTTCATGGCAACACAACTCTAAAAAGGCCGACGGGTGCGGCGCTTTTTTGGGAGCGTTGGATCACGCCTTGGTTTCCCCGAGCTCTGCGCGGGGGTTTTTCTCGGCCAGCGTGTTCATCTTCTGAGCGATTTCGCACAACCTAAGAAACCCTGGAATTTTGACTCCCCTGTAAGTACCAACCAACAATGGTTTCAACTATGGTTCCATTTGGCGCGGGCGGATTTCGCAACCATCTACAGTATGGCCTCAAGACTTTCAGCCTCAAGTACGCTTGCCAAGGCCCTCCCAATTCGAAGAGACCCAACCACGGGGAGGGTGAATGTAGATTTGACCTCGTGGAATCTTCATCCAAAGTATTATGGCCATTGTCCCTGGTGTCAGGGAGAGGGACGAATCCTTGCTCCCACAACCCTTTATGTTTTTATCAGCTGAGTTGCCGCTACAAGACCCTGCAAAAGCAGCAAGCCTCAGTGAATCAATCCTGAGCTTCTCTTCCATTTTGAGGTTCCGGCGTATTTTACGTGTTTGACCTTTTCCGCATGATCATTCAGCAAGGTCTAGTGGTGGGGGTGGTTTTGCCAGTAAGGGCGTTGTTTGCATTGTTCTCTGCGGCTCTAGCGCCCAAGCTTTTATCTTCCCCGTTGCGCAAGTAACAAAGGATGCCCTCCATGCCTCAGTTGTCCATTTCTTAACAATTTTGACGTTTCCCCGTTTTAAAACCAGCTGAAGCTTAACCTTTGGGCAGGTGAGCTGAGGGTTACCGATTTGCGGGGTCTCTCAAATTCCTGGGTTGCTTTGAAGGGCGAGGACGAAGACGAGGTGGAGGAGCCAGCGGCAGAGGCATCGGCATTTGAGGGCGTTTGGGGGCCGACTTGGACTTGAATCTTTCACCCCATCCCCCAACTACCCCCCAAAACGATAATCCAGAGGGCTTTGGTCGAGACCCCTTTGCTTGTTGGCCTGGCTGCGAGTTGGGCAGGATTTGTCCTCCCAGTTTGCTGCCCCCACGCCCCTGTTTCCGAATAAGGTCCAAAAACGAGGAGACCATATGGGGACGAGGGGTTGGGGGTGCTGAGTACATAGGCGTCCTTTCTGGGTTAGCTTGCACCCACACGAGCGGGGCTGGTCTCAGTGCATGCGGGGCGTGCGTGAAAGCAGCCTCTCTCAAAGGCCCCACAAACAAAGGCCTGGGGAAACACAATTTGTTGTTGACATGCAACTGGGCAAGCTACAGCGGCCTCGCAAAGAGGCGCCGCAACCTTTCCTTGGGTTCCCCAGGAACTTGCCCAGCCGGTGGATTATGAGACTTCGCCCAAGATGCCCAAGGTTTATTTCTGACGTTGGCGGTGGCTCAAGCTGAGGCATTCCCAAATCGCCGGCCGGGCGCGAGGGTTTAGGAACAGCTGCACGCAAACAGGGTCTGGAGAGTTTCATTTTCGGACAAGCTCTGCGGCTTGTGCTTGGACAGATGGCTTGGATGGTAAAACTGGGCTTGCCCTGATCCGCACAGGGCTCGATGTTTTTGGTAGGGGGGGGTTGCTTTTTTTGGTTGCCTCGGCTGGCACGGCGTTTTCACCGACTGAAGCGCCGCCGCGTCATGGAGAAGACGGCCGTGACCTGCGTGTCATGGCTGCCCCGTGGCGCTTGCAGCGGGCGCCTTCTTCCGCCCACCGGGCTCGGCGGACTCGGCGTCGCCGCGGAGGGCGAGGAGGAGGCGAACCGAGCGCTGGTGAACCGCGGCGTGCCCGGCTTGGAGGCGGGGGCGCTGGCACACCCGCGGTGTTGGAAAGCCCCAGAAAGCAGCGGAAGGGAAGACAAGTTGACAAGAGATGGATTTCTCCACAAAGTTTTTGCTCCTGTTGACCTGGCGGAGCTGCGTTCCAGGGTTTGGCGAATTTGCTGGGTGGCTGAAGCCATTGGTCCTCCGGGGTTGGCTCGCCGACGCAGGCACCCCTTAGTCCATTCCTGGGCGGTGCAAGGTGCTGAATTGCGCATGTGTTTTTTGGGGGTTCCCATGGTCATGACCAAATCCCCAAGACCGATTTCTAGCTATTTAGCACGTTATGGTAGAAAGGTTGCAAGCATTTCCCAGTTGCCCAGTGCCGCCCTTTTTTTCCTTTTTTTGGGAAGGATGCCCTTTACAGTCAACCAACCAAAAAAGGGTGCCCTTTTTTTCCCCATGGAAATCCACCGGGCATTTGAGATGTCGTCCTTTTAGCGATTCCATTCGCAGGTGGCTCGCCGGAAAAGCAGCCCTTGCCAGTCCATGTGTCAGGGTTCCTTCAAGGATACATTTAACCTGTTTTACACTAAATCAGCTGGTAAAAAGTGATTTCCCAGCTGACCCAAATGAATTCTTTAGGGGGCCCTCTTCAGCCCTCCTCAATCCGGAGGAATTCGACATGGAGAACTACGACGACGAAGGCGAGGACGGCATGCAGCTCTTTTCCGTGCTCGACGCTGATGCGGAGCTGGCCAGGGAGCGGGCGGGGGCCCCAGCTGCCCTGCGCCCCGTTTTTTTGTTTTTGTTTGTTTTTCTCCATCAGTTTAGGGTCCGTCCAAAATTTGAAAGGGACCGGGGCTGACAGAATCTCCCGCAAAAGAACAAAAACAAAACAAAAACCAAGGGGCTTGAACATTTTCTCTCGGGTTGCTTGGGGGCCTCACTCTTTGGGCTCCAGGTAAGGTGACCTTTCGTCACAGGGCTTCCTGACATCCGCCAAAACGGGTTGGGTGGGTGACAGGGTTTTCCGGAGATCTCTTTGGAAATCAAGCAAGGCAAAGGGGCGGGAGGTGGTATTTGATTGAAATCAGGCGGAATCAACCGACAAAAGCACATTGACATTGGGGACATGAATGTTAGCTGTTCCCTGTTCCCAGTCGACCATAGCAAGTTCACCGCAAAAGCAACTCTGGAGTTCCCCACCCCGTTTCCCCCCCCCCAAAAAAAAACCCTAAACCCGAAACCCTAAACTCCCCCCCCCCCCGGGTTTCCCCTTGAGAAGCCGACGCCACGGATGGGCGCCCAGGACCCCTACATGACAGGGGATCCCAACTCCGATTCCGACGAGGAGGGCGAGGTGGAGATCCGAGCCTCGGGCTTGTGGTTCGGTGTTTGGAGGACTTCCACTTGCTTAACTCTTTTTTTTAAAAAAAATAAAATAAAAAAAAAAATAAAAAAAATAACATAAAATAAAAATAAAACAGATACAACACAATAAAACAAATTCCCTGTTGGTTTTAAAGGGAATTCATTACTAGTGGAGATATGTTCATTTTTTCCGGGAGTCTTAACCAAATGGATGATGAGCGGCTGGCTTCATGTTCCTTTGGTGGAGTTTGGAGCCCAGTGGTGTGGGATTTGAACGGGTCGGTTCTTGAGGTGGGAGGGAAGCTGCTCGCTGGTAGCGAAGGAAATCGTCCAAGTTCCTCTTGAGAGCTACGGAGCTGCCAGGAGTCGTAAGTGGTCAACATGCCCAGGTGAATCAGCTCCCTATGACTCAAGCTCTTTTTTGTTTACGGGCAACCCCCTCCTGGGGGACCGAACTGGGCATATTGCGAGCATTTGCCTGACGTAACCGTGGATGGAGGCGCTGTCGAGTCCCCAATGGTTTCAGTGATTGCGCCGGTTTCCTACTGCTCGCGGTCGATATCCGATATCAATGGTCAACTTGCCCGGCTCAAAGCATTTTGCACATATGGGATGCCCACCTCACAGTTAGAGGTCCCCAAGTGGGTGTGTGGTCCCGGCTGGTTCTTCGGCCACGGCCGCTCAGGCAAGGAGGATCACGTCTTCGTGGCGGCCTCCTGTGAGGAGGCGATTCGGTTTTTCGCGGGTTTTGGGAGCCACCGGCTTGAGCTTCCCTGTAGTCCCCCTTTCTTTGGTCCTCATCCAAGAGGAAGTTTGAAATTCATGTTGATTTGCAACGCCCGAAAATCGCCAGCCAGAGAAGAAACCTAATGGGGAGGGGTGATTTTTGCGTTTTCCGGAGCCTCCTTTTAGCAGGGCAAATGTAGAACACAGGCGCTTGCCTTCATGTGCTGCGCCAAAGGTCAGGCGCCGCAACAAGGCCCAGTTGTTCTGGCGCCTTCTGTTTGGTGGATCCCGGCAAAACGATCGCCCCCCCAAAAAGGCGTCCAAATCGTTTTCTGATGTTCCTGGCTCTGAACACTAAGGGGGTTGGGCTTGCTTTCAAGGCTTTAAGAGAGAATCCCAACTTGATCCGGACCTTCCTCACATGAAGTACTGATCGCCGCCGCCATTTTGGGCAGTCACACATTGGCTAGGTCCCCCCAGCTAGGTGCCCTTTCTCACCCCTTTTCTGGTTGGGAGGGTTCCCCTAGTAAAATGGACTACAGAAAAAGGTTGGTGCCCTTATTCTAACCTCTCTACTGGAGGGCCTAGTTGGCGTCGGAGAGTCGAGGGTCCAACTTAGGGGCACCCTCCCCACGATGCCGTGAGCGGTTTTTGATGTTCGCTTGCACCTTCGTGAGAGAAGGCCAGCGAGATGTCACGGGGTGTTCCGGAGGGACCTGATGCCTATTCCCCAAATTTCCTGGGAATGTGGCCGATGTCGACTTTGACTTGTCGTTTTTTTGTGTTTCACCCTGTCATCGTTGGGTTGGGCTGGTGGGGGTCGGTCAATCCTGGCACAGGATTGCTGCAACCTGGAGCTCTACGTCTTTGAGGAGGATGAAGGCAACATGCGTCTCGGTTTGCACTTTGGGCCAGACCGATGCGGCTTGCCGGGAGGGGGGGGTGGCTGAGGCTTTGGTTGATTATTCTATTGGTTGATGAACACGAAGCCACGAGGAGTGAACGGTCAATCAACTGCGAACCAGTGTTCAGTAGCACCCTTTCTCTTGTACAGGCTCAGACTTGGACCTGGAGTTGATTTCATGCCCCGTAGCCTGCAGAGATGTATGGGGAACTTCCCTCATCTTTGCCATGACTCCTTGTTGCTTATTTGGCGGGTGCCCCGCCAAGGGTTACGCTTGAAAAACATTTGGCAAACTTCCTCATTCGGCCTTCTCAGCCAAGGCAGTTGCATCCAAATGCATTAGCCATATTTGACAGGCTTGAACCCAGGTAGGGCAGTTCAAAATAGGTCTTGGGACTCCCTTTCAGCCAACCCTAAGGGCACCCGGAAAAAGAAGAGGAAAAGCTCACCCCAGGTATGTACACCACGATATCAGCCTGGCCGCCTACCCGCTGTGCGTGGAGTGGATCAGCGCCAGCTCCAAGGATGCGGGCTGCTACGCGGCCGTGGGGTCGATGCTAAGCAGCAATAAAGATGCACAGGCCAGCAACGTCCTTGACATCTGCAAAGCTGACCCTATTAGGAAGTGACAGCGTGTGCGTGTGTTGACGTATGATTTCTACAATTAATCGTGTCTTACCGCTCTATGTGTCTTTGTTTGACATGGATGCGCGCTGTGCCTGGTCTGGCCGACGCCACCTACTGGTTCTCAGCAACGGATCAAGAACGGTCTTGGGAATGCACCGTTTGGGCCCCAGCCACAGGAAATGGATGGTTAGCCAGATCCTTTGTTTCTGGTTCGAAAGAAACCAGGTGAGAGAAAATCGCACGTGTTTCACTTGCCACTTCCCAGCCATACGGTTCCTTAGGCTTTCAGGCCAGAGTTTCGATCAATTCAATGACATGCCCTACTAAAAATAAGGGATCAAGGAACCAACAAGTTCACCGAAGCGGCTTCCCTTGAATGACAACAAGATCGGGTGATATGCAGAACGTGCTTCAAAAGGGCACAATTCGTCCAGAACCTTTGTGGCTGCGCTCTTTTCGTTTTGGAGGTTCACCTTGGGCATTCGTCCCGCT